TTTGGTGGTAACTAAACCCTACATTCTCCTGCCGTCCAGCGCCAGCGGTAAGAGAGAAACTGTGCCTCTAAAATCTCAAACGCTCCTCTGTTTTTTTTTTTTAAAACAAGTTTCTTTTGTGATTTCATCGATCATGGATTGCGATAGAATCAGTACATTGTCGGATTCTTTGCTCGCTAAGATACTCTTATACCTTCCAATCAGCGATTCGGTTCAAACGAGCGTTTTATCGGAAAGATGGGGATTTCTGTGGCTAAAAGTAACAAAATTGGACTTAAACGCCATTGATTTCCTTCCTTACGATGAAGCCTTGGCGGTTTTGATGAAAAGATATCTCGAGTTTAACCGCAGAGGATCACACCTGAAAAAGTTTAAGATAAAGTATCCCAATAATGACAAGTTTCGTGGCGATCACGCCAACAATAGTAAAAGACTTATGGAGTGGATAACCGAAGTGGTTCATCGAGGAGGTGAACATCGAAGAGAGTCTCGTACTCGTTCTATAGAATTCATGCCTAAGTATATATGTATGTGAGCAAGACAGTGGTGTCTTTAAAGCTCGTAAACGTAGGGCTTGAGGATCCCAAGTTTGTTGTTTCGCTACCTCGTCTCAAGATGTTGCATCTAGAGAAGATTCGTTACAAGAGAGTAATGGTTTTTATATCATTGGGAAGCTCATCTCTGCCTCTCGTGTTCTTGAAGATCTTAACTTGGTAAAACGATTTTCTGAAGTTTAAAAGTTTGATTGGAATTTATTTGTAAACTCGATAACTTTTCTGTTTTTTTTCTCTGGCAGGACTTTCGTTTTCCAAGCAACCTAGAGGCAATCGATTTCTCGCCAGTCGTCACTGTTTCTAGTTCCAAGAAGCCAAAGAAAGCCGTTTTTACCAAAGTGCCTCGGTGTTTATTATCGACTCTGGAGCGTGTTACGATTAACCAACTGATTATGAAGGGGGAAACTGGGATTAAACTAATTAATTACTTTCTTGAGAATTCAGCAGTCCTCAAGAAACTGAATCTGATTTTGAAAACTGCTTCGGTAAGAGACCAAGAGCCAGAGACCTACAAGAAGCTTCTTACACCTACTAAGCTTTCTCGTGAATGTCAAGTTTTCGTCTATTGAACATGCAGATGCTGATGCCGGTGAGCATTTTCACTGAACATACATCAGTGTTAGGTTTAGCTTTGAGAATTGCAATTAGGCTTATTAACATTTTATAGACAAGGCTTTTTTTTTACTTAGCTTGACACACAGAATTTTGGATGATAATAATGTCTTTCTTCAGATTTGCTCATCTTAATTATGTTTTGCTTCTTTTAACTATGGATGATTCTTAAATGCTTAAAGGTCAGATTACCTGATTAACTTTCATTGCTTTGATCTCAATCTTTAGTTTATAGTTTCTTAAGAAAATTGCAGTATCATCGAATTTTCTGAGTTGGTTCAGTACTATATGTGTTTTACCATCGACCATAGACAACCTTTATTTGATTCACAAATAAACCTTTACTCAACAATTCCACATCTGTAAAACTTATAAATTCGTCAACTCATCACATAAATTCATTATTTTAGGGATTTATCTTACTTGTTATACAAGTCACCGTTGGTTTTCAACATTATAAACATTCTCTCTCACTTAATTCGTCATTTACTACATTGTATACATGATTTTATGTACTTGTATTTGATCATGCCTACTCAATCCTCAACATCACTTCTCAATACATATAAATTAACATACAGCTAATCATTTTCATGTGAATAGTTGTTGGTTCACCTTATTTTTGTTACACACATTCTTTCACCTTTCCTTAATCATTCATTAAAATTCTGTACATGACCACTCATGGATAAAATCGTGTGTCACTAATCATAAGAATCAATTGTCAAATTATACGATTTGTATACATAATCATTAACATGTTCTCATTTCTTCGTAATATTTTTACTTTGTTATCTCGAAGATTTTATCATTCATGGCAAAGAAACTTTGGTTATCGAGTTTCTTTATACTCTCTCAACGCATTAAGATTGGTTCAACGTTGCACAGTGGACGAAGCTCAGACTAGAAATTCAACACTCTTTTATTCAGTGACTGGAAACTAATCTTATTTATTTTGAAGAAATGAAAGATTTCAAAGTAGAAATCATTCACATATGAGGCGCCTTAGGAGGCGGAGGGGGACAAGGTGTGACGCAAACACATATTCCAATTCCACCACCACTCCGGTCACAGAAGCCGGTAACAATTTCTCCAAACATAGCGTTACACTTCGGACTACAGTTTTTGCCAACTTCACACGGTCCTATACTCGTCGTGCATCCCATATTCTGTTCAACTATATCCAACAAAACCATTTTAATATTTAGATAACAAAATTATTACTCTATTAATCTGTTTCGATTACAAACAATGTCATTCTACGGTTTTTCACACATATTAAGCAAACTATTAAAAGTTAGTTTTGTTATAATTTATTAAAATTTACTTTCGCATATGGAGTACCATTTAATACATAGAACTACAACAATTCAGAATTGAAGTAAATTT